TAGTCCTAGCACTTTGGGAGGCTGAGGTAGGAGGATTGCTTGAGCCCAGAGTTTGAGACCAGCCTGGGCAACATAGTGAGACCCCATCTGTACAAAAATAAAAATAATAAGTAAAAAACAAACAAACACTTGTATTGATCTTTGAATCCGTCAGCCTTCATTTGCAGGATTCAGAAACCACTCTAGCTTCTTTAAGCAAAAAAAAAAAAAAAAAAAAAAACAAACCCTTTATTTTAAAAAATCAGTGTTTACAAGATTATTGGAAGATCTAAAAGAGTGGCCTTTAGGTGGGCCTCCAGAAATAAGCCTGAACTGATGAACTGGACTGTCAGGGGGCTACCTCTGCCCCATGATTAGGAAGATAAGGAATCAGAAAGCAGCCACTGGAATGACTGATTCCACAGACACATCACCCTAGCTGATGTTTGGGGACAGTCTTCTCACCCCCACTAATATTGCCTCAAGAGTCACACAGCTTTTTGGCTTGATCCACACTGCCAAAAAAATGAATGTCCTGCATCCCTGTGTCTTGCTTCTCTATCCTCACTAAACTCATGGCCTGTACGTCGGAAGCTAAAAGACAAAGTCTTCATAACTGTGCTCACCATTGGAAATCACAGATTTTCTCTGCCTCACTTCTGTCTTCTAAAGGCACTGTTCTCATGACTGCTAATTCACAGGCAGCATAGGGCTCTTTGTTTTTTTGTACAAGTTGGTGTGAACAAAGTTCACAATATCTGGTGGAAAGGCAGGCTTGAACACAGCAGGCAAAATGATGTTTTTGCCAGATAACTCTCCCTTTTTGGAGTCTACTGCTATCAGTGGATGAGTACATGCCATGGTAGGGTGAGAAGTTTTAGGGTACTGGCAGAGCTGTGGCTCCAGTACCCAGCATCTGAGGTGATGGGACTCATTGTTCTGGCTAGGGTGCCTTTGGAAATATGGGTCATGAAGACTGCATGTTTGCACCAACAAAAACCTGGTGCCATTGGCACTGCAGAATGAACACAACCCAAAAATGATATGCCATTTGCTCTGCCCAGCTGCCTCAGCCTTACCAATGCTGGTCATGTCTAAAGGTCATTGTATTGAGGAAGTTCCTGAACTTCCTTTGGTGGTTGAAGATAAAGTTGAAGGCTACAAGAAGACCCAGGAGGCTGTTTTGCTGCATAAGAAACTTAAAACCTGGAATGATATCGAAAAGGTCTGTGCCTCTTAGCAAATAAGAGCTGGCAAGGACAAAATGATAAACCATCCTTGTATCTGACACAGGACACCCTGCATCATCTATAATGAGGACAGTGGTATCATGGAGGCCTTCAGAAACATCCCTGGAATGACTCTGCTTAATGTAAGACAACTGAACATTTTGAAACTTGCGCCTGGTGGGCATGTGGGATGTTTCTGCATCGGACTGAAAGTGCTTTCTGGAAGTTAGATGAATTGTATGGCACTAGGCATAAAGCTGCTTCCCTCAGGAAAATCTTCCCAGGCACAAGATGAGCAACACAGACCTTAGCAAAAGCTTGAAAAGCCTGGAGATCCAAAGAGCACTTCAAGCAGCAGGCAAGCAGATTCATTGCAGAGTCCCAAAGAACCCATTGAAAAGTCTGAAACTCATGTTAAAGCTAAAACCCATATGCAAACACATGTGTCGGGACACCATTCTTTGCCAGGCCAAGAATCACAAACTCTGGGGGATAAGGTAGCAGCAGCTGCAGCAGTAGCAACAGCAGCAGCAGCACTAGCCCTAGAGGCTAAATCAGATGAGAAGGGTGTTGCAGGAAGAAGCCTGTGGTAGGAAAGAGAGGAAAAAATGGCTGCTGGTGTTAAGAAGCAGAGGAAACCTCTGGTGGGAAAAAAGGCAGTGGCTACCAAGAAAACAGCAGCTTAAAAGAAGCCAGCAGAAAAGAAAGCTACCACAGAGGAAAGTAATCCTGCTGCATAAGCTTTTAAATGTGTTTATTTCATAAAGATGATATCATTTTGGACACCTTATTTTTAATATATACCTGATCGAAGAGGCAGTGAAGAAAAAGAAAAGTTCATGCGTCTAACTGGAAGAGCTGAAATCACTTCTGGAACTCTAGCTCAAGGGAGTCTAGGAAATGTGGTGTTTAGCTGTCCAGCCTCTGTAATGTAGGGCAGCCCAAGCCCACCAATCAGGAAGCTGGAGTTGGGTGTTGATGAGCCTCATGGCACATATCGAGGCTTTGGATACAGGATTTGCATTCCTTTTGGATGTGTCACTATACAAAGAAAAGCTTCAAGAGCCAGGCGTGGTGACTTGTGCCTGTAGTCCCAGCTACTCCAGAGGCTGAGGTGGGAGGATCAGTTGAGCCCAGGAGCTCAAGGCTGCAGTGAGCTATGCTCACACCACCACACTCCAGCCAGGGTGGCAGAGTAAGCCCCTGTCTCTATTAAAAAAAAAATAAAAATAAAGAGCTTCAAAGCAAGATAAAGGGGAACAATTTATCTGAAAGTGTAATATATACCTCTATAATTTATTTAACCTATACTATTGCTAGTTTTTTTTTTCTATTTTTTTCACATAAATAATGTAATAAATGGCTTTTATCAGAGTCAGTAATAGCCTCTTCCATTCTGCTAACACAGTGGTCAGTTCTCAGGCCTCATGTTGCTAAACTCAGTGATCAATTCGTAGACCTGGCTGGACACAGTGGCTCATGCCTGTGTAATCGCAGCAGTTTGGGAGGCCAAGATGGCAGTACTGCTTGAGCCCAAGAGTTTGAGAGCCCAAGAGTTTGTGAGACTTTGTCCCTACAAAAAAAAAATAAATAAATAAAATTTTTTAATTAACCAGGCATGGTGACATGTACCTGTAGTCCCAGTTACTCGGGCGGAGTGGGAGAATCCCTTGAGCCTGGGAGGTTGAGGCTGCAATGGGCCAAAATCACACCACTGCACTCCAGCCTGGGTGACAGAGCGAGACCCTGTCTCTTAAAAAAACAAAAATCTCAGGCCTTATTTTCCTTGATCTGTCATGACACTTGACATGACTGCTCATTCTCTTCATAAAACTCCTTCTTCACTTGGTTCCAGAACCTCATGTTCTTGTTTTCCTTCTAGCTCGCCTGCTCAGTCTGAGTCTTCCTGCTGGTTCCTCCTCATCTCTCCAGCTCTTAGTGGTGGGTGCCCCAGGCATCAGTCCTGGGACCCCGTTTCTTCTTTGTGTACTCCTTTGTTGATCTCATCCAATCTTATGACTTTAAATACTCTGAACTTCAAACCCATGTATCCAGCAACTTCCTGGTTAAGATGTCTTTTTTTCTTGAGACAGCGTCTGGCTCTATTGCCCAGGCTGGAATGCAGTGGTACAATCTCAGCTCACTGCGACCTCCACCTCCCGGGCTCAAGCCATCCTCCCACTTCAGCCTCCTATAGGTGTGTACTGCCACACTTGGTTAATTTTTGTATTTTTTTGTAAAGATGGGATTTTGCCATCTTGCCCAGCCTGGTCTCGAACTCCTGAGCTCAGTGAGGCTTTCCCTAATCACCCTACATAAAGTTACAAACTAATCTCCCCTCGAGCTCTCTGAACCTTCCTTCTCTGCCATAGCACCTTGCACTTTGTATTCAACTATGAAACTTCTTCTTTTATTGTATGTCCACTCTGCCATAGGAAAATAGATTTTTAATACTTGGTTTATTATGGAATTATCAGTGCATGGAATTTTTTTTTTTTTTTTTTTTTTTTTTTTTTTTTTTTTTTTGAGATGGAGTCTCGCTCTGTCACCCAGGCTGGAGTGCAGTGGCTGGATCTCAGCTCACTGCAAGCTCCACCTCCCAGGTTTACGCCATTCTTCTGCCTCAGGCTCCCGAGTAGCTGGGACTACAGGCGCCCGCCACGTCGCCCGGCTAGTTTTTTGTATTTTTTAGTAGAGACAGGTTTTCACTGTGTTAGCCAGGATGATCTCAATCTCCTGACCTTGTGATCCGCCCTTCTCGGCCTCCCAAAGTGCTGGGATTACAGGCTTGAGCCACCGCGCCCGGCCAGTGCATGGATTTTTAATACTTGGTTTATTATTGAATTATCAGCACAGGGAACAGTGTCAGGATACATGGTAATCATTCATTGAGTATTTATTGTATGAATGCATTTCCTTACATATGCACCATTGTGCACTCGTCTAATTATTTATTAGGATGGAATCCCTAGATTCAAAAGATATACACTAATTGCCCAGGAGGTGTTCTTTTCTTTTTTTTTCTCTCCCATCTCTGAGTCTGCTTGCTAGGGAACCAGAAAGGTTTTAACAATTTGTTCTCCCACCAAGGTCTATGAGAATGTCATTTTCCTGCCACCCTCACTAACACCATGCCCTGGTGACACTGGTCTTTCCATTCCTTGACTTACCATGTTTGTCCTGTCTTGATGCATATCATTGACTATTTCCTATTCCCGAATACTCTCCTGCCACACCTTTATCTGGTTTAATTCTTCTTCTTATTTAGGATTCACTTGAAGTGTCACTTCCTTGGAGAAGACCTTGCCTGGCCATCTGCTGTAAAGTAGCCTCTCAGTCACTCCATATCACATCCTTGTATTTTATTCTCATTACAGCATGGATCACTTCCAAATGTTTTCTTATTTGTGTATTTATTTGTCTATGCTTCGTTTTTTCCAAAATGTCAGCTTCATGAGAGCAGGAGTCTTGTCTTTTTCAACGCTATCCACACTATCTGCAGTAAATGTGTGTTTGATAGTAGAATCAATATGGGGTCTTATTTTTTTCATTATTATCAATTTGCTAGGTGAAAATGGATATAACATGAATTATTTTCTGGATTCAAGTGCTGAGGTGATCTAGAAGTTTAAATATTCTGTTAGCATGTTTGTTTTAGATATGTTATGTCAGATTTTTATATTACTGATAAACTGCGTAACTTCTCAAGTTTCTGAAGCCTCTTTTCTCATTTTTGCCAACATTTTGCAAAATTTGGACTCACGTACTGTTGTTTGTTTTTTGTCTCCACAGCTTTTGGAAAGAACAAACAGTGGGTTTGAAGAATCAGATTCTGGTGCTACTAAGAGTCCACTCCACTTAGCTGTAAGTGAGATGCCATGGGAAGCTTCACCTGTTACAAAAAGAACCTAAGCATTCCTAAAACTATACTGCTTTTAAAACGTAAGCGTAGTAACACAGCGATGAGTGATAATGAAAGTAGTCCATAGTTAAAGGCACAGGCTGTGGAGAGAGACTGCCTCGTCTTCCAATCCCAGTTTCATCTGCTGGTGATCTTAAATACATGACTTACCCTGTCTTGAGGCTCGGTTTCCCCATCTGTAACGTGAGGGCAAACGAAAAGAGATAATGCACCTAAAGCCTTACCCTTTATTCTTGTTATAAAGTTTAACAGTCTTTAAAATTCAAAGGATACATTTCAGTTTAAGAGATTTGATTAGAGATAACAATATACAAGTGGAAAACCTATGGCTCATTGAATACCACAGTTAAAAACTGGCAGGATGTTTGAGCACAAACTGATGAGAGCAAGATGAGCACATGCAGAGCTGCAGCTGCGACCTTCTGCCTGCACTTGAAATCAGGGTCTCCAAGGAAGTCTGAGGCTCTGATTCTTGTACTGGGTGAGATCTGGGAGGTGAGGGAAGAGGTGTTTTCTCACCAGTAACACTTCCTCTCCTCATCCCAGTAATTGAAGGCAAATGCAACAGCTCAGAGTGATGATCCCCAGACTCTTCATGGGCGTGACCAAGGTGTGAAGTGCACCCACCACTCTGTCTCAGATGGTGACCTGCTAAGAGTTGGCCACCAGCAGCTGCTCCCTAGGAACCCTGCTGACTGGCAGCCACACCCCGCAACAGCCAGCTCACATGCCCAAGCGCTCACGTGCCCTTGGTGCTGCTGAATTGTGAGCACTTGGTTGAAGGCCACAAAGATGGTGTTTGGATGCTTCTTTGCTTAGTAAAACCCAGGGGCAGGATGCCAGGAAGAATGGGATGGGGCTGGGTCTCTTTGTTTAACTGTGTTTATGACATTTCACTTAATACCATATGTACATAAGCACTTCTTCAGTGTCGTTCTGATGAAAAATTGACATGGAGATTTTGGAGACAAGAGAGGAGTGTTTTGTTAATTGACACGCAGAGGTGGTCAGGCAAGGAGAGAGGAGACAAGGCCGTCACACAAGGATTGGGAGTATCCAGAACTGACCATATGTGTGGAGTCTTCCCTTCACTGCCTGTTTCCCCACATACTCACAGCACACCTGCTGACGACACCCACCAACATACCTGCTACACACTCATACACACATGCATTTTGAGTCTAGTGAAATCAGGGTGAAATGTGCATCAGTCTTTGTTCCTGGAGGTGGAAAAGGTGGATGAATGGTGGGATATTTATACATATAAAGCTTCATGTCAGTTGGCCCTTAGTACAGGTTGCTTGCTAGAATCCCTGCCCAACCATTTGCTGTGCCTGGGGAAGTTGCCCCAAAGCTCAGCACTCACAAACATTCTCTAGGGACAGTTAGTGCTATATGGAGGGTTATCTCAGATGCAATTCTCAGGCCCCAAGAAAGTGGGTTTGACTGCATTGCCAAGCCTGCTACTAATCTGAGAAGAGTTTCTTGGCTTCCAAAAACTCTATCATCTCTCGTTCCTCTTCTTTTTTTTTTTTTTTTCCATACTGTATTTGTTGAGTGCTTATTGTGTACTCTGCTAAACTCCAAGGGTTGCTGTCTGTGTAAAGATAGGGTGCTGATATCATTTAAAAGAGGTGGGCTTTGGTAGTTCTGCAGCTGACAGAGGCCCAGGAAAGATACATTAAGTGCAGGTCCCAGCTGCCATTCTTTTCATGAGCAACTCACCTGGACATGGTTTCCCCACCTGTAAGTTAAAGGAAATGAGTTAAGCATCTCAAAGACCCATTCCAACTTGTTAATTTATTGAATTGTTTATTGTGTGATCTTAACCCAAATACCTCATCTCTTATGTCTCAGTGTCCCTACCCATGATATGAGAATAGCAATACCTCATTGTGGAGATGGCATGAGTTAATGGATGTAACACAATTAGAACAGTGCCTGGCACGCATATGTGCCATGAACTAGCTTCATCGTCATCATTACTAACACCATATAACATCATTATTAACATCATCCTTTCATCCAACATACACTGACTGTGAATAGTGCCAAGCACTGTTTGAGTAGCTGGAGATATTGCAGTGAACAAAACCCCACCTCTGCCCTTGCAGAGTATCCAGTCTAGGGAAGACAAACAGGTGAGGAAATGACAGATGGTAATATGACAGATGGTAATAAGTGCTGCAGGTGCTACAGAGAAAATGAAATGGGATCAGGGAGATAGAAAGTATTGAAGTGACAAACAGGATGCTTATTTATTTATTTAAGAGTTGGGGTCTCACTGTGTTGCCCAGGCTGGTCTCAAACTCCAGGGCTCAAGTGATCCTCCTGTCTTAACTTCCTGAGTAGCTGGGATTGCAGGCATGAGCTGCTGCACCTGGCCTTTATGTAGCACAGAATCTCGTATTTGCACAGAGACCTTAAGAGCTACGCATGTTGATATCTAATGAAGGAGTGTTGTGGGCAGAATGCAAAGTCCCTGGGGGAACACATGCTTGGCATGTCCACAGAACAGGAAAGGGGCCACTGTGGCTGGAGCAGAGTGGTAAGGAGAGTGTAGCTGGGGGCAATGTCTTACATGTTATTGAGGGAGCCAGGAGTTTGGGGGGCCACCACAGATCTCACGGGGACTTTTACTCTGAACAAAATAGAAAACTATTAGGAGGGTTTTGAGGAAACGGATTGGTATGATGTGACATTTGTTTTAAAAGGATCACTTTAGTTTCTATGTTGAGTCAAAATTCCAAGGGAATGAAAGCAGAAGCAAGGCAAGCCAGGCAAGAGATGATGACCATGACTTTGATCAGGGTGATTACAGTGGATTCCTTCTAAAGTCATTTTATTCTTTCTCTCTAAATACTAACACTTAAAACAAATTATTTGCTTTAAGGACTCCACAGGTATGCCCATCACCCTCTCTAGGGGCCTCGGTGGCAATTAACTTGATAAAACCCAAGGCACATAATTTCTTACTTGCTTTGATAAAACCCAAGGCACATAATTTCTTATGTGGAAGCACTCTAGCAGTGTAATGGAACCAGATGCCCCCAAACCTTGACTGCTACCAGAAACCTGACCTGCCTTGAGTTACTATTTACTGGCTGAATGATTCAAATCTCCAGGGTTATTGGCCCAGTGAATTTCATAAGCATTTCATCCACTTGAAAATATTAAATTAAGAAACAATGTTATGCAAATGAAAGGCTCCAGCTGTCAAGATTTTCAGACAGATCCATTGTTCTCATGGATTCTGTTGAGATCCCAATTCTTTCCCCTCATTGTCCTTAGTTCCTATCTTAAAAGGTCTGGAAAAATTAATCACGTTTAAGAAGTAATTGTTACCTATTAAGGTTTTCTAAAGGTGTTGCTTGAAACAATTTAAAATGTTTAATACTTCTAGTGAAGGCCTTACTTTATGCATAGTAAAATTCAGGAGCTACAAACTAGATAAAGAAACAAAGGGAATTTTGTAGATCACACTTGTCCAACCCCTGGCCAAAGGGTCACATGTGCCCAGGACGGCTTTGATTGCGGTGCAACACAAATTTGTAAACTTTCTTAAAACATGATGAGATTCTTTTTGCGATTATTTTTAAGCTCATCAGCTATCATTAGTGTTAGTGTATTTTATGTGTGGCCCAAGACAGTTCTTCCAACGTGGCCCAGGGAAGCCAAAAGATTGGACACCTCTGCTATAGATAAATCTGGCCTCTCAACCATTCTGTCTTTAAGAGGGTTTTCAAGTGCCTGCTATAGAAGAAAGTATGGGTTGAGGTTTTAAAGTTTTCCTAATTGCCAGCATGGTTCACTCCATTTGATTTTAGTATTAGGTCTCTTTAACTTAAGCAAGTTAAGTCCAAGTTTAAGTGACAGACTCAAGCCTGGAGTCAAGTGTCGTAGCCTGATGTACACACTGATGTAGGCCCTCTTCTTATCTCAAGTTTTACATGAAGTGCTCCTGAGTTGGCTTAAAATCACCTGTGTGGCCGGGTGTGGTGGCTCACGCCTGTAATCTCAGCACTTTGGGAGGGTAAGGCAGGTGGATCCCTTGAGTCCAGGAGTTTGAGACCAGTCTGGCCAACATGGTGAAACCCCATCTCTACTACAAATACAAAATTAAAATTAAAATTAAAAAAATTAGCTGGGCATGGTGGTGTACACCTGTAATCTTATCTGCTGGGGAGGCTGAGGCAGGAGAATCGCTTGAACCCAGGAGGCGGAAGCTGCAGTGAGCCGAGGTGGTGCCACTGCACTCCAGCCTGGTGACAGAATGAGACTCCAGCTCGAAAGAAAGAAAGGAAGGAAGGAAAGAAGGAAGGAAGGAAGGGAGGGAGGGAGGGAGGCAGGGAGGGAGGGAGGGAGGGAGGGAGGAAGGAAGGAAGGAAGGAAGGAAGGAAGGAAGGAAGGAAGGAAGGAAGGAAGGAAGGAAGGAAGGAGAGAGAAAGAAATCGCCTCTGCCCTGAGCTGTTCATGACCCAAACTGTGTGAGAGGTATATGGCAATTCATTATACCATCCTCTATTATTTGCTTATGTTTGGAATTTCCTATAATAAAAGGTTAAGGGAACATGTAGCCTATGGTCATGTTGCGCCCTTTCCATATTCGCTAGTGAAAAGCCTCACAGCTTGGGCTCCGGGAGTCAGCCTGGTCCACCTTTGAAACCCAGCTCCTCCACATTAGGCTGTGTAACCATGGGAGAACTGGGTGTCATCTCTGCCCTTCTGTGTCATCCTGGGCAAAATGGGAATAACAGGAGCAAAGCATGGGTTGTTGTGAGAATTCAGTGAGGCAATGCATGCCCATTACTGCCTGACATACAGCAAGTGCTCCATAAAAGTTAGCTATTGCTTCAGAGTTTGGGTTAGAATAGAGGCTTACTATCCTGTGCAGCTATGGTTTGCATAACAAGTACAGATAAGAAAGTTAGACATACGTATT